TTTAGAGACTGCCTACAAATTTTTACTTTTTTTTTTCTCTAACATCTGTAATAGTTCTTATTTTTAGCTTTGAATTGAAGATGGAGGGCCAGCAGCTTGCAAGGTTGGCTAGACTAGGGGAGCAGTAACTCAATTAATATTCTATTTCTGTTCTTTTTTTAAAATTTTGCTTTAAAAAACAATACAAATAATAACAATTTAAATTTTTTACAAACCTAGAGAAAAGCAATTAAAATTTTGGGGGAGTTTGTATTTTAAAGATCTATTTCACTGTAATTATTTTTAAACAGATGTCTCTGCTGTATTTTCTGAGCTCCTCTCGTGTTCTTTCCTTCACTTTTTAATAGCAATGCTCAGGATAGTGTTTCAGTGATTTCTATTTTGGTTTTGCAGTTCTCATACAATCTTTAAAAGAGCCAACCTACTTTTAAGATGTATATAAATCTAAGACATTTCCAAGTACAAATGAGGGAGTGTCAGTATCTAATTGGATTAAGCAGACTTATTTTTAGTAAGTATAATGTAGCATTTGGAGAATAGGCAATACACGTACATTCAGCTGAATAATTAAGCTATTAAACAACTGCATAATTAAAAGCTACAGAATGAATAGATTCTCTACAAGAATCTGCAGTACATTAAAGTAATGATTTTGTAAGGCTTGAAGCCAATAAAGTCAGATTCCATTTAAATATGTGGCTCTGCCACTTCCTGAAAGCAAGAAAGGGCAAGAAGATAATCACGGATGAGCTTCCTCTGAAGAAGTATATTAAAGAAAACCTGATGAAATAAATGTTTGGCTTTTTGATGATACCCTCGACCCTAAATCCAAATTTCCAGAATTCCTTGTCCAGCTCACTGATGTCCCTGACACACACCCAGGGGTAGGAAGTCTCCGTGATGGGTCTCTACCTCACCCTTTCTGCCCCGGGTCGCTCAAGCAGCCTTTTCTGTGTTGTCTGTGCTGGCTCTGTTGAACGCTTCTTCGCTCGCTTTCTTTGACAATTCAGAATTAGAGCAGCTTGGCTTTCACAACTGCTGAATATCATGGAAAAGCAGGTGGCGTGTTACCTTGCTTCAGAGGGCCCGGTTACAGTGCTGGGAGAAACAATGTAGACATTTAAGTTGGCTGCAATTATGGGGAAAAAATCTGTCCTTTACTTTCTGTCCCTGTGTTCACCATGGGGAGTGGACCTCATGGGAAATATATCAATATCTGGAACAGTTTAAGACTTTGCCCTTTATTAAAGTCCATCAACAGTATTTGAAATCTAGTGTTGTATGTCCAAAGAGATTATTCCTTTAACATAAACATAAAATGTCCCCACTGCTTTTCTCTTAGTAGAATCTGTCACATGATATTTTAAGCATTTTTTTTTTTTGCAAACAGTGAAAAAAATGAAAAGAATACACACAGGCTCTTTTAAAAAAGAACTTACATGTTATATAGTTATTGTTGCTGCATTGAACCTATTTTACAGTCAGAAATACATCTCCTATGTGAAGAAACACTGGGCATCAGTGGAGAGCCAGCACTGAAAGTGTTGAACTCATTTACACATTATGCAGAATTATTGAAATTCTCTCTGCTATAAGGGAGAAGCATTGAAAAAACTGACAAAAGCATTCATCATTTATGGCCCATTGTTCAATATTTGATGTGTGATACCATGCTTTTCTTTTATGTGAGGATGACAAAATCTCCCCACTATCAACGCAGTAAGAATTTTAAATTGAGAACATCTTATCTTGTCTTTTTCATAACCAGTGCAACAAATTTGCATAGCAGTTGCAAGTCAGGCCATAGTTTTTGTTTTGTTTTTTTTTTTGTTTTGTTTTTTCATTTTTAAAGCCCTACTCCATCATATGGTGTTTTAGGATACATAGTAGGTATTCTTGCTTTATGCATAGTGGGTATTCAATAAGAAATACTGCTGGATCAAATGGGGTTGTAAAGTGTATCCTACTGTATCTACATTGAGATCCTCATGCATATATTTAATTTAGTACTAATGTTTGGAGACTTATGAGTTTCAAAAGATCAGAAACTATAGCATTAAAGTTAGATCTGAGACATTATTGGGAACTTTCTTGGATGATTAAGTTGCCTAATTTTTTTTTATTATTATTATTTGCCCCAAGTGTTTCCCTTAACATCAGCAGCCCACAGAGTCCCTGTATGATATATACCATGTGGTCAGAAGAGCATTCTGGAACTCATTAATCAAACTGCCCTTGGTTTCTGCTTAAGCTTTTTCAATGAATATTTATATTTAGAACACATTGAAGAGTATTAAAATGAAAACTAAATCAAAAGTTGAAGGACTAGTTTTGGGATAACAGAGAAAATGAGTCATTTTGTATTTTGTAACTTAATTCAAAATATGCATTTTCTAAAAATAATTATTGTTTTATAAAAAGCAAGGTAAATTCAAGTCCATGGTTTGGGAGATAGAAAGATACTATGTAATACTGAAAAAAGAAAGATTGAAAATCAGCACATAGACTAACCATAGGTAAGCCGAGTAATTAAATATTAGATTACTAAGGAAAAATTTAGGTATTTCAGAGTACTACTAGTACTTTTAAAAGGATGCATTTATATTCCTGATCATGCTAGCTATATTAGAATTTATGAGATACCATAAATTGTTTAACCTGACACATTATATTGAATTCAATACATACTTTTTTTTTTCTTCTCCAACTTTAGAGGTAGGACAATAGAGGTTATAGAAAAATTCTTATATCTTTGAAATATTGTCACTTTAAAAATGAATGAAACACCATAATTTTTTTTATTATAAGTTCTTATATTTCAGATGAAAGAAAATATATTTGATAAGGCCTAATACACAAAAATATATAAAGAAATCATAAAATTCTATAGCAAAAAAGCAAACAATCTAATTAAAAATAGGCAGAGGAACTGCATAGGCCAAAGAAGACATACAGATGGCAGCAGGTGCACAAAAAGTTGCTTAACATCTCTGATCACCCAGAAAAATGCAATCAAAACCACAATGAGATATTGCCTTGCACCAGTCAAAATAGCCAATATCGATAAGACAAGAAATTACAAGTGTTGGTGAGGATATGGAGAAAAGGAAATCCTTGTGCACTGTTAGTGGGAAAGTAAGCCACTATGGAAAACAGTGTAGAAGAGCCTCAAAAAATCAAAATTGGACTTTCATATGATCTAGCAATTTCATTCCTTGGAATATATCCAAAAGAAATGAAAACACTAACCTGAAAAGATACATGCATTCCTGTGTTTTGCAGCATTATTTATAGGAGACAGGACATGGAAACAACCTAAGCATCCAACAACAGATGAATGGATAAGGAAAATATGGTATATATACAAAACAGAATATTATTCAGCCATAAAAAACAAGGAAACACTGCCATTTGTGATAACATGGACTTTGAGGACATTATGCTTAGTGAAATAAGTCAGTCAAAGACCAACACTGCATGATCTCATGTGGAATCTACAAAACAAAAAAGTACTCAGTCTTTACATTGTATACCTGAAACTGATATGTTATATGTCAGTTATACCTCAATGAAAAAAGAAGATAAATATAGTTAACTTTATGTATGAATTTGTAATATAATCTCATTGATAAAATGTTTATGTTAAAGGAATCATCTCTTTGGATATACAACTCTAGATTTCAAATACTGTCTCTCAACACCCTGGAAATATCTCACTAGTCTTTTGGCTTCTACTGGTAATTTTAAAAGTGCACATTCTGGCTAATCCTTAGTGGCAGGTAGTAGGTGTGCTGGGAGCTTTGATCACTGAAATCAGTTTCTAATCTAGTGCCAATTGTTATAGTGATAATGTCCAGACTATACCTCTAAAAATGGGTGGTTGGAGAGGAATGGATGAATAGATCCTAATTTTAATGTTCAGAAAGATACATGTTTACTCAAGTAATGAATGAGATACAGTCTTAGAGAACCCTACAATTTTGAGAGGCATTCTACCCTATACAGAGGAGACTTGGCCTACATATGGGCTATGCTCCATATTATTTAAAGCCCTATATCCATTTCAATATCAAATTCTTTTTAATCAGCTTTATTGGTAAATGGGAGCCAAATAATCATAGATACTTGACTGGTGAATGACCTCATGTTTTATTGCCCATTACACTTTGGTGTATGAGTGTAAAAAAGGCATTCATTGCGCAACAGCAATGGAAATAAAATTCTGCCCTAAAATATATCACTGGGGAGTGCAGTAGGAATGCTGGCATCACAAAGAAAGGATCAAGTATAAACTTAGCATCTGATCCTGCACTTTTTCCCAAAGTCTTTTAAAATCCTTGGTGTCATGACTCTAATTACTGCCCAATCACCCTAAAACCTGTGTATAACATCCTTGTTCTGCTTCTGATAATATATGGTTTCAGGAAAGAGTGTTGACTCATTGGCATTAAAGAATGTATAATATTCAAGTTGCAATAGATCTTAAGCTAAAGAATGAACCTTTCTGACATTTAAGTAATAAGACATTTTTAGCAGTAGAGCCATTTAAAACCTCTGAAATAACATATTGAACCTAATTATAGGTAATATTGACTGTAAAAGTGAGTAAAATTCAGAAATATGTATTTTCAAGTATTTATTGTGCATAAATATATGTATTTTCATCTTTATTTATAAATACATATGCTTTAAGAAAATCTTTAGAAGAGAAAGGATTTAACAGTTGATAAATTAGAGATCCACATCAGCCACATTTATGAGTTGGAATTTGATGTTTAATAAAGACTATACGTCCCAGAAACTGCTAAGAAAATATGATGTAAGTACAAAATTCTTAGAAATTCAATTACACTAATGGATTCTGATTGAAAAGTAAATTTTTGATCAAATAAATAACTAGAATGGTACCCTAATTAATGATTTTGTTAATTGATCTTTATCTAATGTGCACATCTTTGTAATTTTCAATATGGACTTTTTATTTTTTTCTTCCTTCCCAGTGTTAAAGAACCCAGTGTGTAAACTATATAGATTCCCCACATCTGACAATAAGTGGATGTGCATCCGGGAGCAGATGTCAGAGAGCATACTTTCTTTTCATATTCCTAAGGAATTGATCTCTCTTCACATAAAAGAAGATTTGTGTAGGTAAGAGAAAATAATTTATGACTGTCTGTCACATTAATTATTTATTATTTCTATAAAGTATTCTTTTAAAGTATGATGGTAACACAAAAATCTCTATTTGTACTGTCCAATATGGTGGCCATTAGCCCTTTAGGCCTATTAATTACTTAAAATGTGTTTAGTTCAATTTGAGATATTCCATACATGTGAACTACACACCAGGTTTTGAATTCTTAGCAGACAAACAAAAAAAATTGATTTTTATAATGAAATGTTAAGATTTGGGGCATTTGGGGGTTAAAGAAAGTATATTATTATTCACCTGCTTTTTGGTTTTGCTTTTTAAATATGACTACTAGAAAGCTTAATATTACATATGTGACCCTCATTTGTGGCTTGCATTATACTTCTATTGTATATTGGTATCTAGCCAATAACCTGACCTCTGAACTTGCTAATCATCCTTGTGTGTTTACCTCATCTGCTTATGGTTAATGCTTTTGTAAGGAATTCCTAAATTTGACTCTTATTTGGACTACTCATCTGAAATGAGGCTTTCAGATGTTTGTTGGTCAAAAATCTCTTTGAGATGATTGATAAAGTGTGCAATATGAATGGGCAGTATTGCACAACAAAATTAAATCTTTTGCTATGATGAAACAGAAGGGTTTGAGAGCTAATTATTGATAAGAACAATAGGTTCTCTGCCTTATAAACCTCTAGTTTTAAAATGCTGAATGCTACATTATACTAAATGCTGTTTCTGAATCTCAGAAAATTAGCAAATATTTTTAGTGGTTAATATTTTGTTCAGTGCCCACATATATAGCAGAGTGTGAAATGTCCAAAATGTTTATTTCTGCACTACCAAGTTACTTAATAGTGTTGAACTGCTTTGGTAGATCCCGTCCCCAGGGATGTCTTATTGGCCTAAGCCAGTGACCACACCAGGGACAGGGCAGGTCAACCCTGGCAACATTGATGATATTTGTTAGAGCAGGAATGACTACACAAATACTATATATCAAAAAGATGAGAAAAGAAAAAAGAAAAAAACAAACCCGGTATTTTAGGGAAAATCAGCCAGGAAACTGGATTATGAGAAAACAACCTGGATCTAGAGAAAAAAAATACTGAAAGAGGTCCAAGAAGATAGATATTTGAGAGGAGCAGAGTGAGGATAATCAGACCCCAGAAATCAGACAACAGGTATTAACTCAGGCCAAGAGAAGCTATAGCATGTTAAGGAACATAAGCAGACTATTTATAAGAGCAAACAGCTGCAAGAATGAATTAGTGTAAACCAAATTGTTCAGTATTATCCCTACTTAGAGCTAGTGCTAATAGTAGGTGATGGGCAAAGCAAATTCCCAAGAAGGGTAAACAAGCTTATGTGTCAAAGGAGCATGGAGTTCAGAGCTCTGAAGTCATAAAAGAATGTCCATCCTCAACATTGTCGTATTCTAGTCTACTGGACACTAATCACTCCTACAAGACTCGTGTAAAGATTACATTTCATACAGAAGGTTTGGGGAGAATAACTTCCTCACAGGAATTACAGAATAAGGACTCACAGTAAACAAGCAAGGATTAGAGGTGCAGGCCAAATTCAACATCTTAACTACAGCTGAGAGCTGCAGAAGAGCTGCCAGATGAAGCAGATCTAAGAAGTCAAGACTTGCCCTCACCCTGTAAAATGGCACCTAAAAGCTGCATTCGGACTAATCCGGTTCTAAATTCACATTGAAATATCTATAAAGGCACAGAAAATGGAAAATTATCACCTTAACAAAACACTGAAATCTATTAATGTAACGCTGTATTATTACACCACATACTATGTATAACAAAATGATGAATGATTAGACTAATACTTTGAAATTGAAAATTTTGGTTAACAGACCACTAATGCTATTTCATCTAAAAATACAAGCTAGTAGAATAAAATGGAAAGACCCCTGCTGCTGCCCCAGTCTGACCTTGGCTATCAGTTTAGAAATCCCTTAAAAACTGAGCAGCTGGCCTCTGTGTGGCTACTACTTTTGAGCCTTCCACAGTGCTCTCTCTCCAGCCCCTGTCTCTCCTCCCACTCCATTAACATCTCTGTCTACCCAAGTTGAAATAATGAGTAGGGAATAAGGAGAAAGCAGCCAGCAAACCACTGAATTTTAGTAGGCAAAGCCTCTGTCATTATTGTTTTATTATTTTTAACACCCCAAAGTATTGTCCGCCCATTCTGTTCTCTTGCCTTTCTATGGTTCTCTGTTTTCCTATGCATTTGCAGCAAGAAAAAAAAAATTGCAAACACATAGAAGAGGCTAGTGGGAAGTTTTGGGGAAGAAAAAGGAACAGTGCCTCCAAACATAAAGTTTCTTTGCTAGGGACAGACCTAGACACTGTCATCAGTGTTCTTTGGGAATTTTCAGAGAAAATCCAGTTTCAATCCTATGAAATCAAACTTGATAGAAACCTGATAGATTCAGAAAGTTGGCTAGGCACTGTGAAGGCCAACTTGTTCCATATACCTTCAGATTTCTCCAATACCTTTTCTGCATAAATCTCCCATCATTAGAATGTGTTTAAAAAACCATCAACAATGACTCTCTAAAATTTTATAAAGAATAACAGAGAAAAAATCATGTTGAAGACTCAAAAGAGAAATAGGAAAAATTTGGAGGAAAATTGACCATCTCAGTAGAGTGTAAAAGGTATGTTTATTCTGAAATACAGTCAGAAAGTTGTAAGATAAAGAATCATCTTCCTTTCGGGAGAATGCCAAAAGGGAAGGGATAATGGAGGGAATAATGAAATTTTAAAGTGCAGAAGCCAGCGGAAAAGATTTGACAGTGAGAAATCATATCAGTAATGTAGAAGACAAGTGACAGACTCTTCTCAAATGCTAAACAAAGGTAAAAACAAGTTCAAAATGATGAGAGAAGATGTTGGACATGCAGGGCACAAAGCTGGAAACTACCAAATAAGTTTACATGTTCTTGGGGAAGAACAAATGCAAAAGCTTGAAAGAAAACAGTGAAACTATACAGTTTTTTTTTTCTCTTGCCAAAATCAGGCCAACTTTACACTTCTCTGCAGAAGCACATGAGTAACATTTACCAGTTTTTGAGAGGAAAAGGCCACAATCCCACTTTATTATACAGGGCCAGGTTGTGATTTTTTTAATGAATGAAGGCAATGGAAATGGCATACTTAAATATGTAGGAGCTCAGATGTCACCCACAAAACTGTCTTGGAAAACCTACTTGAAGATGTATGTCATCCACCTGAGGAAATAGTTTAAATTAACTATTATATTTATAATACAATATAAGTTAATATAAAATTTTATTATCATAAAAATTAATATGATAAAACATGATATAATAAATTAAATTAGGGATGCAAGAATAGGATATTGTCTTGCAAAAGAACAAGAACCATTTTCTTGGTTGGGTAGAATCTCCAGCCTGGACAAACCTTTACTCTGAAGTTCTTTTCTCAGCTTCTTTCAACCCTAGTCTTAGATCCCAGAAAGTATTTCACTTGCCTCAATCTCCCGCCTAGCCCCACAATTTAGGTGGACTCCCAAACCTTGTTTGATGAAGAGCAGATAATCTTTTCTTTTTATAAGAAAAGTCAGTAAATATAATGTGAACTTAGTAACTTAGCCCTGTGCTTCATCAGGGGTCAGCAAAACCTTTCTCTTAAAGGTCTGGATAATAAATATTTTTGGCTTTGAAGGGCATATGGCCTCATCCCTACTGCTTGGCCTTGTCATTGTAGCACAAAAGCACCCATATGTGAATAAATAATGTGACTGTGTTTCAACTAGACTTTATTTACAAAAGTGAGCCTGTCTTCTCAATCACCAAAATGAGGAATCTGCAGATGTGGTCAGTCTTTGGCTTCTATGAAGTCTGGATTTTAAAAATCTTACATTTTCTTTCATGATAAATTGACTCAATCTTCCTTTTCACATCAGATTTAAACTTTTATACATAAGCTGGTGACCAAATACAGTCAACTGCTCTGAGGTGGTGGTGTTGCCATGTCTGTATATTAGTGACTAGGGAATTATTTGAATATTTTGTTACATAACTGCCCCTACTATACCAAGGGAGTGAAAAATGGAAAATTAACAAGATTGCTATGATTGATATCAGTATCACAACACACAGACAGAGAATTCCTGAAGTTTGATTGTGGATTTAATTGTGAAAGAAAACATCAGTTAAGGGAGAGAATTAAGGTAGTATTAGGTATATGTATAGTCAAAATTGTGTCTTTAAGACAAAGCATTATTAATGGTTTAATAATTTCTTTTAACATATGAAATCACTCATTCTATCCAAGTATATTATTAGTTTTTTCCCACATCTGAGATTGGTGTGCACTTGACAGAGTAAGTTAGCTTGAGTCTGTTTGCAGAGACCATGTGTGTGCGTGCTTTGCGTGTTTGCATAATCCATAATATATGTATAAATGAGGAAAATGTTATCCCTCTCTGCCAGTCATGAATGTAGTGTCAGTGTTGGGAGGAATATAAAGGTGCAGCAGCTACTTTCACAACCCTCCTACACAGTGTCTGTCCTCACCTGCAGCTGCCATCTAAAAACTCTTGCTATTAGTCTCTCAGTCTCACAGTTAGTATGGCATTGGACACATGGGGACTAGTTTTATTAAATTTGAGATTGTACATACACAAAGTCTTAGGGTTGGGACAGAGTTTACATCCCTCTAGTAGGGTTAAGCATTAATACTTTCTGAGTTCAAGTTCAGATACATAACTGTTTTGAGTTGGCAGTGAAGTGTTTCCACAACACCGCACTTTGAGTTTTATATTACAGAGTAGGTTCAAAAAAAATCACAAGCTGGAAATTATAGACATCACTCAAGTTATGTTTACTGCTGTGAAGAAAGGCTCATATTGTGCTTAGCAATTTTCTGACTCTTTGCTTCTGGAGCCGTATTTTATAAATATATAAAATGCATGTTAAATTTTTCCATAAAAATAATGTATATGC